GCTTTCTAAAGAGGTTCATTGGTGCCATATTTTAGATTTCACATATAAATGGTATCATATGGTATTTGTCTTTCTGTTTCTAACTCCCCTTATTATAATAACCTCTAGGTCCATCCATGTTGCTGCAAATGCATTACTTCATTCTCTTTATAGCTGAGTAGTTTTCCATTGTGTGTATATACCACATTTTCTTTATCCATTCATCTGTTGATGGTCATTTAGGTTGCTCTCATGGCCTAGCTATTGTGAATAGTACTGCTATGAAAATAGGGGAGCATATATCTTTTCAAATTATAGTTTTGCCTGGATCCATACTCAGGAGTGGAATTGCTGGATCATGTGGTAGCTCTGTTTTTAGCTTTCTGAGAAACCTCCATACTATTTTCCATAATGGCTGTACCAAATTACATTCCACCCATCAGCATAGGAGGGTTCTCTTTTCTCCACAGTCTCTCCAGCATTTATTATTTGTAGACTTTTTGATGATGGCCATTTTGACTGGTGTGAGGTGATAGCTTGTAATTTTGAGTTGCGTTTCTCTAATAATTAATGATGTTGAGCATCTTTTCATGTGCCAGTTAGGTATCTATATGTTTTCTTTAGAGAAATGTCTATTTAGGTCTTCTGCCCATTTTCCAATTGGGTTGCTTTTTTGTTATTGAGTTGTATGAGCTCTTCGTATATTTTGGAGTTTAAGCCCTTTTTGGTTGTGTCATTTACAAGTATCTTCTCCTATTCTTTGGGTTATCTTTTTTTGTGATTTCCTTTCCTGTGCAGAGACTTCATTTTAATTTGGCAGCATCTAAGACTCTCAAGATGTTGGGATTCAACTATAGCTTATGTTTTCTGGTTGTCTTTTGTCTGTTCACTTTAATCTAGCGTAATGAGCATTAATACTTATATGTGTGCGCGCACATACACACACACACACACACACACACATTAGTTTTCTGAGTATCCTGAAGTGGCAGGTTAGTTACTTGCTTAGTTTTTTCTTAATAGCACAAATGACATGGAAGAAAAGTAACCAGGATACATTTTCTGACTTTGGTGAAAGAACTGTGACTCATCTCGTTAAAGGCATGCAGGGATTTTAATTTCAGAGAGTAACATATGTTAGTCCCAACTGTTTCTATATCCATTGTGATCATGGCAAGATTTGGAGAAAATGTTGTAAAAGCATATTTACATTCATTCTTATTCACTTTATGAAACAGAATGGCTCAGGAAGTAGATACTGACTGGACAATAATATCACATCATTTCTTAAATTACTATAATCATTAATGTGTTAGCAGGAACTTACTTTGAACCTAGAAAACTTTCGGGGATGAGCCAGCTTCAGTTTGCATAATTATAAAAGTTACTTTTTTGAAACCTGATTCTATACATACCAAAACATCTTGTGATTTATTAAGAACCTGGAAGGTATAAGACTTACATGAGCTAAGGACTTTGGAAAAAAAGATTTCTAAGTGGCTTTTGGGGTATAATTAAAAGGGTACAAGTGTGATTATGGAGTGAGGGATATAAGCAATAGTTTCACTAATTACTTAACTGTCAGATTCACTTGCTTCTGTACTTTGCAACAGACGTATTAATTGTAATACACAAAACTTTTGGTGAGCTAGAGAACACTCAGCAAGAAATGGGCCAGCAGCAGGAAAAAGCAGAGCTCAAGAATAAACACAAATAAAAATCAACTTCCAAATGCTCTTGATACCAGTGATTTTCCACTCCTGTTGGGATTTTGATTTCTTTCCAGAAGAATCGCACCAGTGGCCTCCTGCCACCGGAGAACAATATTCAGCATATACAGCCAACTGCCACTTACAGCTATCTCTCTAGTGGTCGAAACCCCTCCTGTTTTTATATTCGCTGTTTATGAAAAAGCCATTGCTGCTCTTGAATTTCTCATTGCTCCTGACTGAGGAGTGCCTGGGAGCAGACATGCAACAGGTGATCCTGTACTTGTCAAGCGAATGTTCTCATGCCGTGGGTAGGTACCGATGGCTAGCCTGAGTGGTGACTGCTTCCTTCCATTGATTCAGGCTAACCTCTCTTACTATAACTCATTTATATTTTGTGGCAACAAAACAGGTTTAGATACTTCAAAAGGCCATTCTTTTCCTTCATTAGTACCCATCTCTAAAATCACTTTATGTCATTGTCTACACATGGCGCCTGTGAGCTGAGGAGAGAGTTAATACTGAGAGAGTTAAAGCTTAGGGCACTTTACGGCATCTGCCAGCAGTGTGGGAGACCTGGGTTTGATCCTTGGCTTGGGAAGATTCCCTGGAGAAGGAAATGGCAACCCTCTCCAGTATTCTCTCCTGGAGAATCCCATGGACAGAGGAGTGTGGCGGGCTACAGTCCATGGGGTTGAGAAGAGTCGGACACGACTGAGCGACTTCACTTTTACCCACAGCCCAAAATATCAGCATAGTAACAACACAACTCGGACATATCCGACCCTATCCTCTCTACCCTCTGCCTTTATGCTTCTTGTTTCTCACTTCTGAGAGTCTTCATAAGTAAGTGAAATAACTCAAGTAAAAACCTTTATCTTGTGTTTAAAATAGAGAGTAGTTGATGTAGTTTTCCCTCCATATCCTTCACTTAAAGCAGTGACTCTATGTTGGAATCACACGGAGCACTTTAAAAGATTCTAGTCACTATCAAGTTTAAGATAACTTGGCTTAAAAGTTGTACCACTCAAACAATAAGAATAATGTTTTGCCTTATATTGGTAACTAACCATAGTGCTCAGTTTTTAAATATTCATACTTTAAGAGTTTATGATAAACTGAAGTTTTGCTTAGAAATACAGTGCTCTATATTGTGTCATGGATATGGAAGCGATCACAAATAAGAATATATGTGATCTTACATATGGATAAAGGTATTATGAGTTGGGGTAAAGGGTGGAAAATATACCAATGGTAGTCAGAGTCCATAATTGAATAATCACTTACTCTGCCTTAATCGCCTCATGTCTCAAATCAAAAGGTTAAACCAGATAGGTCTAATACCCTCTGGCCTCTCTCTCTCTGATCATATGATCAGTATCACTTCTTTTCTGAGGATACTGATCTCTCCATAGAGCTTGGTGGAAGGAGATATTTAAACCCTCTGGAAATACTGTATTTAAACAGCATTACCCTGTTAGTAAGACCATCTCTGTATATTTGTAATTATCAGATTGTGGCAATAGAAAACAGTGTATTTCCTTTTCCTCTCCTCAATCTTGTCCCTGTTTGCAACAACTCATTCAGTAAGATAAAAAATTCCTTCTTTGGTTAGGAGTTGAATGGCTAAATTACACTTATTGATTCAAATAAAGTGACTCTATAATTAATTACATAATAAAACATAAGTATGAATTATGAAGAAAGATCATTTTCCTAGGTTGAATTTTTAAGGTTAATAAAGATAGGTAAAGGTTAGGTTAAATGTTTTCTTAAACTACAAACTTTGTCACTTTATATGTGAGCATTTATTTGTATAAGTAATATGTATTCAATGTAAATAAGATGGACTGTTAAGGAAAGCACAAAGAATAAACTAACTTACCGCTATTCCAGCCATTGAGAGAGAAGCTCTTTTCACAGTTGGGCTTCTTTGCTTTCCAAATATGAATTCCTTTAAAAAAAAATAAAATTAGAATCAAGTTACATATACAAGTTTTTAACTTACTTGTCTAAATTTTATAGTCTTTAGATATTATAGGGATAAAATTTTATTATTTTTATAATATAAAAATGCTTTAAGTAATAACCAATCCCTTATTCTTAAATATTTAGGATGTAGACCACATTTAAGGAGCTGCAGAGTTGCAATTAAAACTAGTGATTTTTAAACCTGTTGGGAATGAGGAAAACCAGGTTTCCTTGTGTACATTTGAGATTCTCTTGGAACGCTATTCAGTGAGCATCCTACCATTTTAGCTAACATAAAGAGGAAGCTATTTAAAGCTAGTTTAAAAGGATTTAAGTCCATTGCAAGATCCCCAAGTACCATAAGGTCTCACTGTTTGTGCCCATCTTCTGTGGCTCACTGTTATCTCTGTACCCAGACAGCTAGGTAGTCTCAGCTCTCTGTGGTTCTCCCAAGGTTGAGGCTCTGTCTGGGCCCTCCCAAGGGTGTCCCAGCTTTGCCTCCTGACCCTGAATGTAATCACTGGTCTTTGAATCAAGAAGACCTCATGCCTCACAACTTGGAATGCATGCACCTTGACCCCAGAGCAGCAGGGCTTTCATCTCTGGAGCATGGCAGTATCACACTTCTCCTACGAGGTCAGTACGATAGCCTATAACTTAGAGAAGGGACCACTGTTGAGTTTTTCAGAATAAGGATGGCACGTGCCTTTCTTCATGCTGGTAAACATCTGGGGCAGTAAGGTGGTTATCCCTGATCTTTAGCATTTCCTATATGTGTGTTGTCCGGGTTCAGACCTTTCTGCGATCCTTTCTGTTCTATGCATAGACCGGTTTGAAGCTGTGCATACAATGCATCTGTTTCCATTCCTGACTTTTTACAGTTGGCCATCCTGAAGACCTGCTGGTTTTTTCTTGACAGATTATAGAATTTTACTTTTTAGAGAATAATCCTTAGTTCCTTTCTGTGAATTTATGCTAATTCACTGATTTATGTTTCTGTTTTGCTCTGTCTTTAAGTGTAACTGATTTGCTCTGTTTTTAAGTCTGAAAATTCACCAAGTTGCTGTTTTACTGTTCATTTCATGTAATTAAACTACGTTCGATACAAACATCACATTTTAGTTCTTAGTTCACCTATTTTGTATTTTTTAACATCAGTCTAAAGGCATGTTACTTATGTTTATTGGCCATGCAGTTTCTGTCATATTGATGGAAGACAGCGATTATTGCAGTTTACTTTTTATCTCTAGGTAGTCATGGACATAGTACAAAACATTATTTAATGTGGTTGAGACCAAAAATAGTAACTCTTGGGGCTTTCTCGTCTCTCCTGCTTTTCAGGGAGCTGGTTGCACAGCCCTGGTGGTAGCTGTGGTAGCGAGGAAGCTAGAACTTACCAAAGCAGAAAAGCACGTGCACAACTTCATGATGGACACTCAGCTGACAAAGAGAGTAAGTTACCGCCCCTGTGGCTCCAAAGGGAAGAGTCGTGTTTTTCTTTCTTTGTTTTAAATCATTTTATATCGGGATATAGTTGATTTGCAATGTCATTATAGTTTCAGGTGTATAGCAAAGTGATTTACTAATACGTGCTCTGGGGTCTCCTCCTGATGCCAGTCCCCTAGTCTGGGGACCCCCTATGTGGGTTCAGACCTCTCACTCCTGTGAGAGAACAGAGGGAAAGAATCTCTGTGATATAATTATTTTTCAGTGTGAGGGTTGCCTACCTGTGGGGTATGGGACTGGAATGAATCACGAATGCGCCCCTCCTGCCATTTCGTTGTGGCTTCTTCCTTTGGAAGGAGCATGTCTTTTTTGGTAGGTTCTAGTCCTTTTTTGTTGATGGTTGTTCAGCAATTAGTTATGATTTTGGTGTTTTTGTGAGAGGAAGTAAGCGCAGATCCTTCTACTCTGCCGTCTTGTCCGGAGCTCTTATTTGCTGTCACTATTGGGCAATAACAGTTTTACTTTGACCGCTGAAGCTGAAATGACATGGTTTAAAGTGAAAGCCTTCCTGAAGTCAGTTCCATCTTCTCACGTGGAGACTAAACTTTTCCTAACTTTAGGTCAGTCAGGAAATAATTGGGAAACCTTGGTATTTACTCAAGTATAAAAATAGACCACATAAGTCTAATGTTGTTGGGGTTCTGAATTAACTGCTATATTCCAGGGATCAGAGAGTTTTAAACTTCATAATGCTCTTCCTTCAGCAAATCAGATGAAAGTTGTGTCTCTTCCTGCCTGGCAAAAAAAAGACTTGTGCTCTCCCTTATGTTGCACTTGGGTCCCCTTTAAGGATCTAGATCTGAGAGCTAAGTGACCTTCCTTTGGTTTTAAAGACTAGGACTTATTTCCCCTAACTGATCAAGTTTCTGATGTTACTGCTTTTCTGTTGTAAGTTCTTATGTATATTTGATAAATTCCCTGTTGATAGTGTTGAATTATGGAGAAGGAAATGGCAGCCCACTCCAGTATTCTCACCTGGGAAGTCCCATGGACATAGGAGCCTGGTAGATTCCAGTCCATGGGGTCACAAAAGAGTCAGACACAACTTAGAAACTAAACCACACCAATGTTGAATTCAGAGTCATGTTGTTTGTAGAAAGCTTTTTCAGTAAGAAGTACTGTTCTACTTCCAAAATTCACATTCTGCGTCATGCTTATTGGGCTTCCCTGATGGCTCAGAGAGTGAAGAATCTACCTGAAATGCAGGAGACCTGAGTATGATCCCTGGGTTGGGAAGGTGCCCTGGAAGAGGGCATGGACACCCACTGCAGTGTTCTTGCCTGGAGAATCCCCACGGACAGATGAGCCTGGCAGGCTACAGTCCATGGGGTCTCAAAGAGTCAGACACAACTGAGTGACTAAGCACACATACACATCATGTTTATGATGCCTTAATTCTATTATCTCACTACTATTTCTTAAAAGTGAAGCTACTTTGCAATATTTCTTGTGACCAGAGTCTTTAATAGGTCTGAAAAAACACACTCAAGAAGGCTTGCTGACAGATCTATTTTTATAGGCAAAATGTCACTAAGTACAAGAGCAAATGTTAAGATGGCATTATAATCAAACATAAACTTCCAGTTTATGAGAGCCATTCCATTACTATACTCAATACAGTATATGAAAATAATAGCCTTTTTGTGGTCCTCTCTGCATTACTTTATATAGTTATCAATGAATGTCATTTGTCATAGTTATCAATGAATGGAATTGATTCCTTTCCATTTAGTTATTTATGGAATTTTTAAGTGGGCCCATTTATAATTTTTAATAAAGAAGGACCTGAAAGCCACACATAGTTATTAACATGAGAGATTCAAAAGACACATTCAAGGGTGCTCCTTATTGCTAGAGAAAGCTACAACCATTCCCTGAAACACTACACTGAAGTTTCCTGATGGTCAACAGGAGTAATAATAGTCACAACATTCTGAAATCTTAATATGTATCTAAACAAAAAGCAATATGAATGTTAAAAGATAGATTACTCTTGCAGGAAAAAATGTAACCTTCCAAGTCTTCCATTGTGTATCTTAACAATTTCCATGAAAAATTATTCCCCATGCACAAAGTTCGAGGAACAATTTTATACAGAAATCTTTTCTCTGCGGGACTACATTCACCACACAAAATGCAATGTTTGAAAGTAGAACATACAATTCACTGGGCAGTAACATTCAGAGGACTGTCCTATGTAGTCACAACCACTTACATGGCACATTACAGTTCAAAAATGGCCAGTGGCCTACGTAACCAGAATATTCTAAGGATTTCAAAAAGAAAGCATAATACCAATAACTTATCAGTAGGCTTAGTAAGACAGGACCAGCTATTTAACAGATATCTAGCAAATCACCTTACAGAGACAGTTTGTTTACTGTGCTAAAGCTTTGGGAAATCTATCACTATTACTGTACATTCGGGTCTGAACCAAGAGTAAATCTTGGCATTTGGCCCTCTGGTTACTTTACGTTTTGGAAAGAAACCCGAAAACAAGCAATTCTGAGAGCCCAGACATAATTTTTCAAGTCGCTAGATGTGTCATGAAGGATAATTATACATATTAATGTCCACAGTGGGTGTTTCCAATCCTGTTAAGAATTCTCAATCAGATCCATAATAAGAACGCTATTGTGCAGTTACGTAATTTTGTCTCTTGCAGGTCTCTCAGCAAGTGAACAGAAGTTTGGGAGGCTTTACTTTGTACAGCTTTTATATCGTGCATTGCTACATATCCTAGTAGGCTGAAAAAAATGCATGGAGCCATTGCCCTGCTCCATTCACCCTGCCCGAGGCACCTGGTCTAAAGAAGGACCAGGCTGGTGAGAAAGGTTGGTGCCCTAAGCACATCCGTCTCTGCTGCTGCAGGGGCAGGGAGCACATGTCCTGCTAAGCTGCACAGACTTAGTGACCTTTGTTTCTCCCTGGGCATCCTGGAGGTATCACCCATAGTATATGGAGCAACAGTTTACCGTAATTATCAGAATGAGAGTTAAGAAGCCCTCCTGCATCTTAAAACAGATTATGTTCCTTCCCCTGGAATTTTGGAAAAGACAAAGTATTGCACTCATAAAAGCCCCTGAGGGAAGAAGCAAGAGAAAGACAAAAAGACAGAAATATATAAGTTGAAAAAGAAAGCAGTGAAAATCAAAGGAAATCTATAAACAAAGTAGCCTGTTATATAATGCTCTAATTATATGTATCTTGTAGGATTGAACAAAGCAGATATTCACTTAAAAGTCAATCAGCTGTAAGAGGTTTTGTGGTTTATAAAGTATTGTTTCATTTAAAAATATATTTTACCTTACTACCTTACTTTAATATATGCTGATTCATTAGTAATTATAAAATAATATGTCATGTCCTTTATAACTGTGAAGTGGGTTGGAGTCATCTGGTGATCATTACTATTGGGTTGGCCAAAAAGTTCATTTGGATTTTTCTATAACATCTTACAGAAAAACCTGAACTAACTTTTTGGCCACCCCAATACTTTTAGTAGTATAAATTTCTTTGTTGTTGTTGTTCAGCCATTGAGTTGTGCCCGACTCTGTGCAACCCCATGGACTGCAGCATGCCAGGCCTCCCTGGCCTTCACTGTCTCTGTCCATTGAGTCAGTGATGCCATCCAACCATGTCATCTTCTGTCATCCCCTTCTCCTGCCATCAGTCTTTCCCAGCATCAGGGTCTTTTACAGTGAGTTGGCTCTTCATATTCAGTGGCCAAAGTACTGGAGCTTCAGCATCAATCCTTCCAATGAGTATTCAGGGTTGATTTCCTTTAGGATGGACTGGTTGGATCTCCTTGCTGTCCAAGCAACTCTCAAGAGTCTTCTACACCACCACAGTTCAAAAGCATCAGTTGTTTGGCATTCAGCCTTCTTCATGGTCCAGCTCTCACATCTGTACATGACTACTGGAAAAACCATAGCTTTGACTATACAGACCTTTTTCAGCGAAGTGATGTCTCTGATTTTTAATGTGCTGCCTAGGTTTGTCACAGCTTTCCTTCCAAGGAGCAGGTGTCTTGTCAGAACTCTCAACTATAACCCACCCAACTCCCCTCCGGTCAGTCCTCTACCATCCCAAAGAACCTTTTAAAATACATTAAGGATGAGCATTGGATCACTTTTGAAAAATTTCTGGACTTAACCAATTTGGCATTAGTTCTTTGTAGATAAGAATCCAAACCAAAATCAATTGCTATGTTCTGTTGCAAACACTCCTATGATCAGCTGCCATGTTTTTTCTCAGTACTGCTTACCCACTTTTCTAGCTGCCTCGTCAGTCTGTGTTCTAGGTTCTTATTCTGTATCTTGAGCTGATAAAACTAGGAAGGGAGGATATACCAGATCCCTTACCAGTCTTCCAGGCAGTACAGCTGCTCAGAGAGCTGAGACCTCCAGTAAACAGCCCTTCTCCTTGCTAAGTGGGAAAAGGCCTGTCCTAACCCTAGGCAGTACTGGTCACTTCCCTTTCCACTCTTTAAAAACAAGGTCCTCCTACAAAGCTGAAGTCATCAAAACAGAAATATAGATCAATGGAACAGGATAGAAGGCCCAGAAATAAACCCACACCCCTGTGGTCAGTTAATCTATGAGAAAGGAAGCAAGACAATGGAGAGAAGACAGACTTCTTCAGTAAGTGGTGCCAGGAAACTGGACAGCTCCATGTGAAAGAACAAAATGATAATATTCTTTAATGAGATTTACAAAGAGCTCATATGGCTCTATATCAAAAACAAACAATCAAACCAAAAAAATGAGCCAGAGACCTAAATAGATATTTCTCCATAGAAGACATACAGATGGCCAAGATAAACATGAAAAGATACTTGACATCACTAAGTATTAGAGAAATGGAAATCAAAACTACAGTGAGGTGTCATCTCACACCAGTCAGAATGGCCATCATCAAAGAGTCTACAAGCCATACATGCTAGAGAGAGTGCACAGAAAAGGAAACCCTCCTACACTGTTGATGGGAATGTGAATTGGTACAACCACTATGGAGAACAGTATGGAAGTTCCTTTCAAAACTAAAAACAGAGCTACATTAGGTCCAGCAATTCCTCTCCTGGTTTTGTATCCAAAGAAAACCATGATTCGAAAGGATATGTGCACCCAGTGTTCATTGTTTACAATTGCCAAGATGTGGAAGCAACCTCAGTGTCCAGCAACAAATGAATGGCTAAAGAAAATGTGGTACATATATACAATGGGATATTACTCAGCCATAAAAAAGAATGAAATAATGCCATTTGCAGCACCATGGATGGACCTGGAGATTATCATACTAATTGAAGTAAATCAGACAAAGACAAACATCATATGATATTGCTTATATGCAGAATCTAAAAAAAATGATACAAATGAACTTATTTACAAAACAGGAACACAAAATGAATTTACGGTGATCAGGGAGAAAGGGTGGATGAGGGCAGATAGACTGGGAATTCAGGATTGTCAGGTACACACAGCTGTATTTCAAATAAATAACGAACCATGGCCTACTGTGTAGCACGGGAAATTCTGTTCAATGTTCTATAACAAATAAATGGGAAAATAATTTGAAAAATAATGGATACTTGTATGGGTATAACTGAATCACTTTGCTGTGCACCTGTAACTCACACATTATTGTTAATCAACTATACTCCAAATCAGAGAAGGCAGTGGCACCCCACTCCAGGACTCTTGCCTGGAAAATCCCACGGACGGAGGAGCCTGGTAGGCTGCAGTCCATGGGGTCTCGAAGAGTCAGACACGACTGAGCGACTTCACTTTCACTTTTCACTTTCATGCATTGGAGAAGGAAATGGCAACCCACTCCAGTATTCTTGCCTGGAGAATCCCAGGGATGGGGGAGCCTGATGGGCTGGCGTCTATGGGATCACACAGAGTCAGACACGACTGAAGCGACTTAGCAGCAGCAGCAGCCAAATAAAAATTAAACAAAAGCTGGGTCCTCCAACCTGAGCAATTTACACTATATTCAGTTTCTTACCTTTACAAAGGATGTCAGTGCCAGATGGAAGAGCCTTCTGAACAGACTCCTACCTCTGTGAGGAAGAGAAATGTGTTTGCATAAGAGTGAGGATCCAAGCAGTAACTGGAGCACCTTTTCACTTCACTGTGGGTGGTGGTGATGTCACTCACATGCACTGCAGGTGTTCGGCATCCCATGCTTCAGTCATTTTTCTGTTGGTTGGAGACTGTTCCCTGTGCAGAGTCTAATGAATATCCAAAGGAAGTCACAACTAAAAGCAGTCTTAAGATACCAGCCATTTTCTTAAAGTGGGTTCTAGCAATACAGTTTCACTCAAAAAGAAAGCATTTCAGCACTAAGGAAAAGAATTCACCATCAGCCACCAAGGCTGATGCTTTCTCTGCTAAAGTGGAAAAACACACATGCCTACTGGGGCCATAGTTTTGGTAAATTATAATACTCTCTCTGATTATAATTCTAAGCGCTGAAAAGTACTGACAGTAATTCTCTTTAACATTTTCATGTTAGAGAAATCTCAAGTTCTACAAGGTTAGCTAACCTCCTTGACCTGATTTGGTTGGTCCAAAGTCAAGGACTTAAAATCTGTTTCTGAAGCCCAGCTCATCATTCTGTCTTTCCCCAGGACACTGCCTTTAAAAAACAAAAAACAAAACAAAAAAAACACTTTTTATTTCATATTGTGGTATAGCCGATCAGCAATGTTATGAAAGTTTCAGGTGGACCAAAGGGACTGAGCCATACATACACATTGTATGTGTGTCCGTATACATGTATCCATTCTGCCGCAACCCTGCCTCCAGTTCAGGCTGTCACATGACATTGAGCAGAGTTCCCTGTGCTATATAGTTGGCCCTTGTTTGTTATCCACTTTACATATTAATGTGTACGTGTCCATCCCACACTCCCTAACTATTCATTCCCCCAATCTTTTCCCCTGACAACCATAAGTGTGTTCTCTAAAGTCTTTGAGTCTGTTTTATAAATAAGTTCAGTTGTATCATGTGTTTTTAGTTCACGTATAAGGGATGTCATACGATGCTTCCACTTATCTGTCTGACTTATTTCACTCAGAATGACAAGCTCTAGGCCCACCCATGGTGCTGCAAATGATATTATTTCATCTTTAAAAAGTTGTCTTCCTCCACCCAGTCCCCCTTTAGCTTGCAGTTGTCCTTGTGAGACATCCTTTGTCTACCATTCAAAAGAGTTAAATGGATCAACCGCAGAATAAGTAGCTTATAACAAGCACAGTTGAAAGCTCTGGGTCATCAGTTCTCGTCTTATGAACAAGAAAGAGGACTTGCAGGGGTTTTTAAAGACGAATCAAGAAAGCAAGTGATTGAAGTCTCACTAGGAAGTATTCACACTTTCCATCAGCCGCGATAAGTTTTGGCAGTGTTACTGACATCCTTTGGGCTTGTCCTGTCCATGTGAAACACAGTGTATTTAAATTACCAACAAAATCTTGACAGCATAGACCCTGTCGGTTGATTAAAGTGTGCTAACAAGCATGCCGTTTGCTAAGTCATGCTGGGAGGCTGGATGTCTGGGCCTCCGTGTACATTCAGCAGTGGGAACATGCCCTTCCTGTAGAGCTCAGCCAGCAATGCTGAACAAGCTGCAAAGGACAAGGTTAACCTTGGCCTTCTGGCACCTCGCCCTGCTCCGGGGAAATGAAGCACATGGAGAAAGCAATTGCAGTACAAGGTGAAGAAAGCAGTAGCTGCTGCTGCATCTTTTTTTCTTTAGGTGGTGAATGAAAGATTCCTCATGGAGGAGGTTAGCCCAAAAAAGAGATCAGTAGCCCCTCAAATTTCAAGGTAAGTGTTCTCAGACAGATATAGGTACTTTTCAAAAGGCACAGATTCAAGAAAACAATTTTGAGTTACTAAGCAGCGCTAGAGCTTACCGTGATCATCAGGCTGAAGAATAGACCCCCCAACCAAGTTGCAAAGGATTCTGCTCTGGAACTGATCACCAGCTGTGTGTGTTTGTTTCCCTAACAGGTGAAAAATGCAGCTGCCAATGTACTCAGGGAAACATGGCTAATTTACAAAAATACAAAGCTAGTAAAAAAGATAGATCATGCAAAAGTCAGAAAACATCAACGGAAATTCTTGCAAGCTATTCATCAGTAAGTACCATTCTTCACTTTCATTCTGCATTGGTATCTCTGGGTTTTAATTCTTGCACCTGCTTATTCTTCTTTCATGAGGGAGGGAAAAAGAGAACATTATCATGTTTGTTCCCAGAAGACATTATTTGGCATTTTAATAATTCCATAAATTTTCTTAGAATTTCATTTGTCAGTTCATTTTATGATGAAAAATCATTTATTATTGGGAGAATAGCCACATAATATATTAATTAAAGTGTCTATTCAGTTTCTTTTTTTTAAATAAAAGGAATAATTTCAGTTAAAATCTTAATTTTACATTTATTTATTCATATAGTTTGCTCTAAGATGTTTAGTTTGTATCTAGTACAAAACTTTGAAAGAAATTTAACATTTTATGATCTACTTGGGTTTTTTTTAACATACTGCCAAACATCTTTATATGAAGGTAGTACATGCAATTGATTTAATACTTGAATTTTTAAATTAGTTTTTAATCAGGATTTGGGGGATTTTCTATATGCTATATGTTCATTATTGATTTTAGAGTTCCTATAGGCCTTGCACTCTTTTGTCATTATTCAGACTTTATCCAAGCCACAGTTACTCAATTTGTTTAAGTCATTCATACCATTTTATTGTTATACCATCATAGGCTTTAAAGCAAACATCTCTATCTAGTAAGTTTCCATGATAATTTGAAAGCACCAGGTCTTTCTCCCCCCAGGCTGGCAGCATCATTACCGTAAGTACATCATGTGGGTGTCAGCTGTGATGTCATGCAGCCTTGCTCTTAATGCCCTTTCTATATGGAGAAGGGCAGACGCATCACATTGATGGGTCAGAAAACTGACTTTTCTCATGCAGCCTACCAGGGTAATGATGGAAAGGTAGGTAAATACTAGGTATCCAGATTAGAGAGTGAGATGTGTTTTCTCAGAGCTAATTAGCACAGCCGACAGGAAGTTCTGAGGTTGAAGTTTTCATTTTACTTATTTAGGTAATTCATATGTATATTATACTTACATTCTGTGGAAAATCACCAAGCATTCATCTTCTGCCTTTTCACCTGCCCATCCACTGCCCTTTTTAAAGAGGTAACACTGAAAATGTGGAATGTGTCTATATTTATAGACATACATGTATTTCTATGGAAATTGCTCCCTTCCCTAATGAAAATAAAATCCAAGAACCCGAGCTCTAAAATAGGAGGTTCTGCACACACAGCCGAGTAGCTGGTCTTCACTGCCGTCTTAGCGATCCACATATGTGCTTTCCTCACTGCCACCTGCACTGGAGTGACACTATTTCTGCTTCAGCTCTGTGACTTGACGGGACACACACAACTATGCATTTTCCGCATTACAAAGAAAAGAATGTTAAGAAAGTACTCTTTCCAAGTCTGGGGAAGAGTAAAAGTGAAAGAGAGGAACATTGTATGAGACCCAGCTCACGAGCCGGAGCTTGCTTCCTAGAGTCATAGCTGCCTTTAAAGCTAGGTACCACACCTGGACTGCTTACCTCCACATCTTGATTTCTTGAGGCTTAGACCTAAGAGAGTGGGTCCCCTGAGCGATGCTAAGCTTTCACCTCCCCCTCAAGAGTCACCTGGTAAACTTTTCTTAGAGTGATCGTTCCTACATGCCCCCCCAAACCAAACAACACAGTAACCTCAGCGTTCCTACAAGAGGTGCCCATGGTATACTGCGGAGAATTCTTTCTTTGTACTTGAACGTTTTGATGCTAACCTATTTTGTTCAGATCTATTAAAAAGAAAATGTACCTTTGTGGTTGTGAGACGATGTAGTGTCCTGGCTGAAAGGATGAGAGGTGATGTGGAATTGAGCCCATGGGTCAGTCTTTGGGTTCAGCAATCACACCTCCCATTTCCTCTGGGATTATATTAGTATCCCTTCCTGCTAGTGTACTGTGTCTTCAGTATATAGTGAAATGTGACACTTGCCTTTGATGGCATTGATAAACTTTCATAGAACTGAAACAAATAAATGCTTTGACAGTTTTCCTCATAATTCTGAAGCCATGTATAAATGGTGGTTATTTATATATTTATATAAGTTTGTCATAGACCTCTTAAGCTCAGAATACATTCACACTCAAAACGTTGGGGGACAACTTAGGGATATTCATTGTAAAATTTTTTCAACTTTGCTGTAGGTTTGAAAATTTCTATAATAAAAAGGCAAAAAAATATTTGGGGAAACTAAGTATAAAAGCTGTCCCTAACCAATTGGTGTATTGCAACAAGACATGCTGACCTGACCTGAGGTGAAGGGTTTCATGGTGTAGGTGTCATGTGTCTTTCAGCATGCTGCCTTTGGGCAGAGGAAGCCACACGTGATTCTTCTGCTTCTTTCAGACATTTCTCATTGTTTCTTCTGTAGCTGTGTGTACTTCTAAAGCAGATGAGCTTCAAGCAACTCAAAGATAAATTGTTTTGTAAACTAGTCTTGGGACTATGGGGTTTCCTTTGAGGTGGGAGGGTCCTTACAACTTTGTGAAAAGTAGATGGGCTGGGTGGGGCTAGATTATTCTAATTATGCATAATTACCTTTCATTTGAACTTAGTGAGTGAAGTCATAAAGGAAAGCACATAGGGCTCGATTCCTACGGGCATGGCCTTTACTGCCTTCACTGCCCAGCCTCGTCCATCAGTAGCGGGGGAAATCGGACCTCGCCAGTTGAGGGGAAATGTACCCATTCATTTACTAGAGCTCTCCTGGCCTCTGCTCTCCTCTGGTTTGCCCTGAGAGCTTTGCAGGAGCTCTGTCCCGTCTGCCAGCCTCCTCTGTCTCAGCTGTCCTTCTCTTGCCCAAGCCTCACGGCCTCTCTCCCGGACACAGGACTTTCTAGTCTCTGACGGATGCCTAACTCTGCAGGCCTGGGTCCTCTTTTTAGGGCCCTGTCTGTCTTTGGGGATCGTCACTCAGTGCATGAAGCATTCTGTTTCTGTAACTTTTACCGCTTTCTCTGGTATCCACTTTACAGCTTCTCATTCTTAAGTCTCAGTTAGAGACTCATCAGTTAATATGCACTTGTCTCAAAGTCACGAAAGCCAATAATTTCTATAACAGAGAGTGTTAGATTACCCACCTTTCAGAAAACAAGGCTTCCCAATAGCCCCGACTTGGAAAAGATGTACCCCCTCCAAAAACAGTGTAATCCTGTTGTTTAGAGTAGTATCCATTTAACTATATTCTATTCACACTAGGCAAAAACATCTCCTATTTTACTTGAATGTCACGTTTTAAAGAGGCCAAGATAACTTGATCCAAGTTCTTCCTTCCGAACTCTAGTTCTGGAGGAAGCTATGTGCTTTCAGGTGGGCGAGTACAGTGGCAATGCAAAAGGGTGATGACATAACAGAATAGTGTTTCTCTCTGATCAATATGCCCAAATCCTGCAGAATCTTAACAGGACCTTCCAGCTAACGAATCGAGCCCCCTGTGCGCACTGAACACCACTCTGTGTTATTTTGTTCCAGAATATTTTACAGTTTCTTTTCTTTTGTTTTGTCTTTTTATTTCAACAAAATGAAACATAGAGCGCGGAAGTAAGTTGTGTGAGCCGCTCCTTTCAGCATTCGCAGAATTTCCTACCGGCTGCATGCATCCAAGCGGACCCTTTATTGTGAATTTTAGTAGTCTGATTGCTGCTGTGGAAATGTGTTCCGAAATCATGATATTTTCCTGTGATAAGTGAAGTTCACAAGGAAGAAATCAACATATGTTTCTTATTCTTCTTTTTGGGTGGGGGGAGAAATAAAATGCACACCTGCATGTTACCTTTTATTCTGGCAGCTGCAGCTTACATAGGCTTTTTGTACCAATTCTGCTTTACAGGCAGTCTAAGTGGCAACACGGCAAGATGATTTAAGTTCAAGCCTACTCTACATCAGCTTTCCAGATTAGCAGAAAATGAAATGGGCAAAATTCTACTGTCAGAGGCATACTAGAGTTAGCCAAGAGAAGTATGTTGTGTGGAAGGGGGAAGACCCGCCTCAGCCAGGGGCCCAGCACCAGCCCTGCTAGCAGGCTGGCAGAGTTCAGAACTGTGCTGTCCTGACCCGATGCTGGAGACCTCCCATCCGGTGGCCGCAAACTTCGAGTCATTCATGTGCCAACTCTGCTATGACTGCCCTAAATCTGAAAAGAAAGCTTGATATAAATCCCTGTCATAAATGGATTTAAAAATATGTCACTCCCAGCAAGGAGAGAGAGAGAACAGTAAATTGGTTGACAACTAAGCCACTGGTATTGAACTCAAGCCACAAGCTGTTGCCTGCAGAGAGCTCTGAGCTGAGATTCTGCTCCCTCTTTAAAAAAAAAAAAAAAAAAAACGGGAAGAGCAGGTGTTAGGAGATAAAAACAGGATAGGACTAGCCCGGGAGATTTTTCTTATAATAATTCAAGAATTGGAAGAGAATTAAAGGGAATAACTCTCTCTCCATCTGTTTTAGTGTTCTTTAATGTCTTGCTTGAGTATCACTTAGTCATCTAGAACACCTCCGTTGGTATAAATCCAGCCCTTCAGAAAGAAAATCCCAATCTAACCCTCTTCTTTTCACACACAAGGAAATTGAATGTCAGGTTAGGGCCAAGAAGCATAGAGTCCTTGTCTGACACTGTTATTTTCTCTAATACATTTCTCGAGAATGACCCACACCTGTTTAAAGTTGGTTTGCTTGTGTTTGGGGTTTTTTTTCACTCTTTTTAAAAGGCACACATTAAGAACTGCAACCCTTTTCAGTACTTAGAGAAACATTTCTCAACAACATACTAGATTTAAATATGTGTTTGTAAATTTCTTTTAGACTAAAACATATTCCATTACTATAATAGCATAAAAAGGAACCAGTTACATTAGTTCCAAGTCTTCTAATAAAGAAACACATAGTCACAATCACAGGATCTGACCTTAGCCTGTTTGAGATTGGTAAAGATCGTGTTGGAAGCAGGTGTCACTTAAACGCTCACTGGCAGAGGAGCTGTCTTTTCACTCTGGACAGATTTGGTGGCATATTGAAGATCCATATTTCGGAAAAAAAATCACTGAGCATTGTGAACATGTGTTACAGAAATCTCCCTGGCAGTAAAATCTTGCCCTGTGAATTTTTTTATCCCTTCTAGCCAATTACCTTTCATTTAAATTGGGAAATAATCAAGAATACATGCTCCAGCATTAACACGATACTTTGTAAAATGACTGGTCTCCAGAGTAATAAGGTTAGCATGGGTTTTCACGAAGTAGCTCAGAGAGAACTGCTTCTCTTGGAGCATAGCTTTGAATTGTTGACTTAAAGAGCAATAGACTGCCTTTCTCTGGTTGGAAAATCTGAATTTCTTGCTAGGTAATGAGCACTGAATAAATATTTGTTGAAATATCATTGTCACTAAGTTACAGCATAGTAGGTACTCATTCAGAATTTTTTTTAGAAAAAAGGTTTTATGACTGTCAATCAGATATACTCAATGTTATTTAAAAGTTTCTAAAAGTAACTTTACAAGTAGAAGAGAGACCATCTGTCAGACACTCTAATTGTCCTGTGACTTTTATCTACAATAAAAAATGAAGGGAAATTTTCCCAAGGAAATGGTCTGGCTTCCCTTCAAATTCAGTGGCAGTGTAAAAGTCAAGTGAAATAAATACAATGAAGAATAAGAGAATTATGTGTTTTGAGTTATCTTGCTGCTGGTTGAATAAAAGTTTTCTTGTTGCTAATGAGAATCTCACTTATCACTGTGTTTCATCAGGTTCAAATACCTAACCCAATCCATTTCAGACTAAACAGGGCTAACACCTGTATCTAGTCACGTAGACATAGGAAGGTGCTCCTGCGCCAACACTGATAAGATTCCAGTTGCTTTGCATATTTCTTCCTATGTCTATTTGTCACGATACTGGGGCTTTAAGGAATGTTTTGGCTTTTCTCATATGGTTAAATCCTTATGAGCCTTTCTCAATTCAACTTTGACTCCCTAGTAAACAGTTGTCCTAAGGACACCTTATCTCTCACTCTCTCTCTCCCTTCCTTTTTGCGGTGTTGGGGAAGCATGCTTCTCATTGTACCAGATACATAACCAATTGGGACTTTACCCCCAAATATTCAAGGCATTATCCATGCAGTTATTTGCTCTTGTCAATTTTGTGCATGCTCTTTGGAAGGCTTATGATAGTCGCAGAAAAGAAAAAAAAAGAAAAACTTTCTGACTTCAGATTCTGTCTTTTAGATTAAGAAGTGTAAAAATGGAGCAGAGGAAACTGAACGACCAAGCAAACACCTTGGTGGACCTGGCAAAGGTGAGCTTGGGGGTCTCAGCCCTCGTATTCACACCTGTTGGAACTAATCACACACAGAAACCAGTAACACTTCAGAAGGCAGCCACCCAAAGTTATTTACCCAGTCAAACCAACAGATCATACTGACATGACAGCCCAACTTAGAAGAATTCTTCTAAAACTCTTGCTTGATGTGTACTTTCCCTCTACACATGTTCAGCCCCATTCTAAAAGCTTTCCTGCTTGCAGGGATTTGGAAGTTCAGTTAGAAATATAAATGTAAATATATGAGATGAAATATAAATATAAATATATGAGACAATACCTTTGGGATGCTTATATGTGACTTAGTCTCATCCCTGTGAGGGCAGAACCAGGTCTTGGGTTTTACTATGAGGTTCAAGGCTAAATGGGCTTCCCTTCTGGCTCAGCTGGTGAAGAATCCGCCTGCAATGTGAGAGATCTGGGTTCGATCCCTGGGTTGGGACGATCCCCTGGAGAAGGGAAAAGCTACCCATTCCAGTATTCTGGCCTGGAGAATTCCATGGCCTGTGTAGACCAAGACTGAGTGACTTTCACTTTCAAGGCTAAATAGAACTCACTAATAAATTTTTTTTTACCTATTTTGAACAATAGGCTTTCTGTCCTGTTCCATTGATCTATATGTCTTCATACTACTTTCTTAAACTACATTAATAGTCCCCAATTCTTATATCATGATTAGATGTTTTCTCTGGTTTATTTTGGTTGTTCCTCTCAAGTGAACTACACTTCAAAATATGAATATTTTTTAACAATGACAACATTCCTTTCAATGTTCTAAATTTTAAATGAGGCATTAGAATAGCATTTATGTATGTGTTGGGCCTGTTAACATGAATGCTTTGAAAAAGGCAGTTCTCAGTCAGACCTGTGTTCTGATGTTTGTTTGCTGCAACAACTATGTCCTTTACAAGGCCCCCATTATATTCTTCAAAAATTATACCTATTTGTCCTAGTCCCATTAATTAAATTCATTTTAGTGTATATCAGTAATACATACTGTATAAATATGTTGGAGTGGAATATTTGATATCTTATAAATAGAAGTGAAGTATTTAGTGACTTATCCCACCGAGTAAGGTTTACATGTATTCATGGCAAATAGATGGGGAAACAGTGTCAGACTTTATTTTGGGGGGCTCCAAAATCACTGTAGATGGTGACTGCAGCCATGAAATTAAAAGACACTTACTCCTTGACAGGAAAGTTTTGACCAACCTAGACAGCATATTAAAACACAAAGACATTACTTTGCCAACAAAGGTCCGTCTAGTTAAGGCTATGGTTTTTCCAGTAGTCATGTATGGATGTGAGAGTTGGACTATAAAGAAAGCTGAGCACTGAAGTATTGATTCTTTTGAACTGTGGTGTTGGAGAAAACTCTTGAGAGTCCCTTGGACTGCAAGGAAATCCAAGCAGTCCATCCTAACGAAGATCAGTCCTGGGTGTTCATCGGAAGGACTGATGTTGAAGCTGAAATTCCATTACTTTGGCTACCTGATGCGAAGAACTGACTCATTTGAAAAGACCCTGATGCTAGGAAAGATTGAAGGCGGGAGGAGAAGGGGATGACAGAGGATGAGATGGTTGGATGGCATCACCGACTCAGTGGACATGAGTTTGGGTAAACTCTGGGAGTTGGTGATGGACAGGGAGGCCTGGCGTGCTGCAGTCCATGGGGTCGCAAAGAGTCGGACACAACTGGCCAACCGAACTGAAGTGAACCCCTAGGAGATCATGTATAGTTCATTTAAGCTGGACAGCACATATATATGAGGCCTGAAGATGTGCTCAACTAATACTTACACCCGTGGTTCTCACTGGGACACACTGTGAACAGAGAAGGAGCAGGTTCTTATTATCACTCCTAGATTGAATGATAAAAGAAATTGGGTATTTTTATGAAAAAATAAAAGAGGTCACTTGAAAATAATATATATAATATATATCATTTCACTATAATATATGGTATTATACATAATAAATATACTCTTGAAGTAAAATTATCTGTGAGGCAAGAGGCTGTGTCTTTCAGTTACTTCTTTAGTGCCATGCTTATTATTATTGCAGGACTGTCCATGACATAAAGAGTTTAATATTCACTGAATCAATAGTCTCACATAGTCTCAAGACTGTAGTAAACACAGAGTTAACGAACTGTCTTCCTGGCCAAACCCAGGAAGGTTTGCCTGTGTTCTGAACAGCAACTTCCTTATTCAGTAAGTTCATCTATCATCCCTAAGAGGTTGTTAAGCAGGATAAGAGCATGTATTATAGAGGAAAATATGATAGGAGAGCAGGCTTAGCCATAAAGGTCTGAGGCTTGGGAAAGGCTGCGGTGGGCCAAGGTTAACATCTCCAGCTTTCCTTTCTATATCAGCCTCTTCCCTGTCTGGTTCTGAGCTGGTCAGCACTGAAGTCCTCTTTCCCTGTCTCTTGTCTCCTATTTCCAGAACTATAACTGGGAGTCAGTTATGAATACCCTCTGATCAGGACAACCAGTTGGAAAATTCACTAGGACACCGAAAGCATTTCCATATTTCAAACCACTTGGTGCTAATTAAGCCATAGCTAACAAGGTGGATTGGTAACTTTAGTATGTCCTCTAACTTTTATTCTCTTGCGCGTTATCTGTAAAAATTCTATTTGACCCAAAGGAGAGCCTACAGTTTGGAACATAAGGCAGCAAAAAGATATTTAGGTATTTTTAATTGCTTTAAGTTACTAAATTACTCGATCTAATCAGTTTGTCCTAAACTTCATTCATATTCCAGTCAAAATGTCTGCTATATCCCAATACCATCTGCACTATTATGTATTGTTCTTTAAAATTGGCTTGTTTTTAACAATCAGCCTTGCCCTAATTAGTATTACATGTTACAAAATGAATTTGACCTGCTAACTTTTCTATATACCTTAAAGTATATACATAAATATAAAATCAAAACATGTTTGTCTCTCAGCACACCACTTAAAACCCTTGGACATACCACCAGCAATACCTGCACACCATTTTCTGCAACTGGATCACATTAATTCCTAAGATCTTACTTTTCTAAGTCCTGGCATTGAACAGACAGACCGAATTTGTTTGGCCAGGTCACGTGTTCAGTTAGCTGACACCCCTGTTGCACTGCAAGTTGCCAAAAGGAGACCAGCCCTGAAGCTCTGATAGCTGGCTAGTCTGCTTCCAGGGCAAGTGTAATTAAACCTTCGTTCTCTGTCTCTCTGTTCTTCTCAATCCTGTTTTCTAGACTCAGAACATCATGTATGACATGATTTCCGACTTAAATGAAAGAAGTGAAGACTTTGAGAAGAGGATCGTTACCCTGGAAACGAAGTTAGAGACTTTGATCGGTAGCATCCACGCCCTGCCTGGGCTCATAAGCCAAACCATCAGGCAGCAGCAGAGAGACTTCCTCGAGGCTCAGATGGAGAACTATGACAAGCACGTCCCCTACGATGCTGAGCGGTCCCGGTCCTCATCCAGGAGGCGGCGGTCCTCCTCTACAGCGCCACCAACTTCATCAGAGAGTAGCTAGAAGAGAATCAGTTAACCACAAAATAAGACTTTTTGCCATCATATGGTCAATATTTTAGCTTTTATTGTAAAGCCCCTATGGTTCTAATCAGCGTTATCCGGGTTCTGATGTCAGAATCCTGGGAACCTGAACACTAAGTTTTAGGCCAAAATGAGTGAAAACTCTTTTTTTTTCTTTCAGATGCACAGGGAATGCACCTATTATTGCTATATATAGATTGTTCCTCCTGTAATTTCACTAACTTTTTATTCATGCACTTCAAACAGACTTTACTACTACATTATATGATATATAATAAAAAAAAGTTAATTTCTGCACATATTTGGTCACTTGACATTTCTAAAAGCTTACTTTTCACATTATTTTCAAGGTAAAATGACTGATTATCATCTAATGCACTTTGATCATTTTTATTTCCGAAAGTATGGCCAGTCAGCAAAAGTCTTTCAATTACTCCATACCTCGTCACTAAGATTTTCTCTCATTATGAAATATTATAGTCAAAACTGTTTGACCCGGCCAGCTTACCATTGTTTGAGTTCACATCTCATTTCTATTTAATTTTGTTTCCAACTTTTATGGAAAGTGAGACTGTTACATCAAAACCTATAATATGAACTAGGGACACTGATGCTTTCAAGAACTGTTTTATTCCTAGTTTACCAGCAAATTTGCTTGAAGAAAGTATCAGGGTACATCACTGTCTATCAGCTAATGATGCAGAACTTTAGATGTAAACTACTTATTTCATCTTTATTATGAGAGGCCCAAGCTTAACTCTGTTTGGATTATATACATACATGTTCATATACACATGTGGTTGCATAGCTCCCAATAGCATAATTAGCATAAATGAGCATAACTCTAGCAAATGGTCAGTCTGTTCTCTTGGTCTGTGGGTACTGGGAAGTGAGTGGCATCTGCTAAATTTCAAAAGTTTTAGCACACTTGTTTCACGGCTGTTAAGGTCAGTTTCTGTGAAAAGGAACTCCATATTTATTGGTGCAAATACATCTCTTTCCAGAATTACTCTAAAAGTGCAGTGGGTTTGGAAAAACCACCTTTGAGGTAATAGCAGTTTGGATTTCCCTAACATAGTAGTCTCCAGAGTCTGGGAAGAGCTGGCAGGGGTAACATGATAAAAATAAGACTTCATTTGGACAGCTCTGAAACCAACCCTCTTGGGGTGGCTTACACCTAAAAAAGACTCCTTCATTTTCAGAGAAATCTGCCTTTGCCCTCTTCCCCTTGATTCTACACAACACCCTTGGTGTCTGCCTTATGAGACAGCCTCCAAGTGTTTTTCTTAACACAAAACTAGAGCTATACATTCATCAGCTTGCATAACTCAATGAATAAAATCACTTTCATAACTATTTTCCATAATTGATGCAAAAATTCAAATGTTTCCATTCAAGATCAAGGACATAAAAGTATGATTACTTCAGACTGCATGAGAATCACTTACCATTTATTACTTATCCAGAATGACTGAAAATAAAGCTCTTTCACACACCTTATATATTTCAGTGTAGAATGAAGATAAGGCTTGCAAATAAGTAAAACTATTAAAGTACTGCTTATAGGAACAAACTGCTGAGTTAAATGAACTTAAGATTCCTACTCCAGTAGGATTTTTACTTCATGAATGAAGAAAAGTTTATTTTGGGTAATATACAAAAATACATCAAGTATTTGGTATAAACACTGGATATAAGGAAGAGAGAAACTGTGAAAAAATGATTAATTCTTGTGATTCTTGCAGTTAGTTCTTATCTAGTCTACCTCTGTGACTGAAAACCATAATAACAGATAATTAAGCTTAATTATTATTTTACTGATCAATTAGCACCACCATCCCAGAATACTAGAAGATAAGGGCAAAAATAATATATTGTTCCTCTTTTTGAAGAAGAGAGCAGAGACATGAGTTTTAATTTAGATTTCATTGCCTGGTGTTTATTCACCTGCTGCATTAATTGTCCCTCATGGAGGATGTCATTTAGTCCATCTTTTCCTGTTTCTTTATCCAAAGTGTATGCAGACCGGTCACGATTAAACAACAGTGTATGGTCTTTTGTTTCTGTATTTTAAATAATACCAAATATCCACAATTTGGAAGAGGAGGCGAGAACCCATCTGTTGCATAGAATTTGTGGTCAATGATTTGTTGAATGAAAGTAACTCTACCTGATGTTATCAAGCCTTTCCCCACATGGCATTGAACGTGAAGCAAGATCCTCTGAGGAGACCTTAGATAACCAATCTTTGGTGAGCTCTATGATTTACTTTCTAATGATAACTGACTGTGTTACACTTCAGCCTACCGCACCCTAGCCTCTCTTCTCTACGGCCAGTAGCAGAACATACAACCACCACCAATCATTGTGAATTACGATGGCACCACCTTCCTCAATACTTTTCTTCATTTCCCCTACTTATACACAGTGTCATGAGTTAGCCACTAGAAAGAAGATTCTATGCTCTTAAAAAATCATCAACCAAAGTCAACAGGTAGTAGATCTAGAAAATTTTATATGCTTTCTTCCTAATGTCACCTCCACTGGCAACTATTTTGCCAGAGACTCTCCATCAAAGCATCTGCAATAGTCAAATAATTCTATTCCAAAACAATATGGAAATTGGGATAAAAATCGGTTGGTTGGGTTGCATTCAAATCTTGAGAGATGGATTGAAGTTTTACAGCTTTGTTTTTCAACTTTGCCCAGTCTTGAGAAGTAGAATGAAAGCCTGGAGAGAGGAGGTTAAAAGTCAGAATTGGGTTTGGAACTGAATTCTTGCTAGTTCTATGTATTTGATCACCCTTAATCCTTCTGAGCCTCCTTTTTCCCATTTTCTCATCTACAAAATGAGTAGAAAAAGACACAGATATCAGTGGAGCTCTGTAAATCCTAGCATCTATCTTAACAAATGACGGTAGGTATTTTTTAATGTTATTTCCAATATAATGCAACAATATCAAACATCCCATTACCTATCTTTTTAACTTTTAACACCTCATATGAATTCTTCCACTCACCTAATTAATTCTTAAAGTTACTGGACTATGGATTCATTGTTGGCTTCCTTATCCTGTAACTCTTTTAAGTGATCCTAGAATGTGTGTCTGTGTGTGTGTGCTTGCTGAGTTGTATCTGACTCTTTGCAACCCCTTGGACTGTAACCCACCAGGCTCCTCTGCCTATGGAGTTTTCCAGGCACGAAATACTGGAGTGGGTTGCCATTTCCTACTCCAGGAGATCTTCCCAACCCAGGGATTCAACCATGTCTCTTGTGTCTCCTTCCTTGACAGGCAGATTCTTTACCACTTGCACCACCTGGGAATCCCAATCCTACAATACCAACAGGTGTATGTGTGTGTGTGTGTATATATATGCTTTTTGTGGTTCTGTCCTATTCTTTCTTCTTCTTGCCTTCCCACAGAATCTCTTCATAAATATGATCCAGAAACCTAGACAGTGCTTGTGCCTTGGGCTTAGGACTTGGAATAGTTGATCAGGGGTGTGCTGGCAGGGCCAACCAAGACTTGGACCAAAACCATGCTTTAGTTCAGGAGCCTAAACATACTTCTCCCTGTCTGTGTAACCCTCCCGGAAACAGGATGTGCATTCTAGCAAAATTGTCAAGTCAATCTATTCAGAGAAAATTATCAAACTGGTTGTTTAACTGATAGTGTCCTGGAAGACATGAGGCTTGGAGCAACAAAAGGTATGACACGAGGAGCACTCTGCTCGCTGTCACTATCGCAGGAGGTCCTGATGGTCATGCTGTATTTCAGCTTCCTAGGCCAGGGGACAAAGAGACCAAAGCCCTGGCAGTGATGCTTTCTAAAACTTACTGTATTAAATATGTTACAAGTCAGTGAACCCAGAAATAGAAAACATATCACAGGTATTGCTTATGTCGAGTTGTTAGTAATACTTTGAATTTTTTCCCCCCAGACCTGTCCTTTTCTCTACTTACAGGTTTTCCTCTGACCCAATGTTCTTGGCGTTCCCACATGGTATTGGAGTTGGGGAGCAGCTACAAGAGGAGTTAGAAACTGTGGGACCGCTCATGCTGGTAGTGTTAGAACCTCTGGATTGGAGCTTGCTTAGCTTCAGATCCAGATAAAGGCTGAGTGTGAGGGAGGCAGTGGTCTGCAAACTGCAGCAAGTGCAAAGCTGAACAGAGAGTTTCCTTCTCTCCCAGCTCCCACTTTCTTAGTAACTTTCCCCTTCTACTCCTTGTTAGGGAAGCAGCTCTGGCCTCTTACCAGAGCCCAATTATTCAGTTGTCAATTTCCCTGAGGTCACCTACCCTAGCTAGCCAAAAAAAGAAAAATCTGGAAACAAGATATTTCTTGTTAATCCTAACATCTAAAAAAAGATAATAATAAATATATAAATGTATATTTATAAATGTATATATGTATGTGTGTATATATATATGTATATATATATAGGGGGGCAGCGAAACTTAGTACCTTCAGCCAAGGTAAATGAATGGAAATATTTGAGGACTTTCACTCAGGGAAAATGCACATGCACTGTGGGATGTTTTGTAGCTGTGAGTGACAAGGGATTCAAACAGGTCATGGAACAGCCTGGTGGTCACCCATGTCCTGAGGCAAAGGCACCCACCACCTCTGCTGGAACTGGGCAGTTCCTGAGTCCTTAGTCACACAGGCCAGCACTGCACATACTTGTGAGACTGTGGCCATCAGCCCTCCTCAGATGGAAGGTGAGAGATGGGACATGACACTGAAATGAAGTACCATCAGTATCTTCTGTCAACCCCCAAAGAAATCAACCCTGAATATTCATAGGAAGGACTGATGCTGAAGCTGAAGCTCCAATACTTTGGCCACCTGATGAGAAGAGCCGGCTCATCAGAAAAGATCCTGATGCTGGGAAAGATTGAGGGCAGAAGGAGAAGGGGACGACAGAGGATGAGATGGTTGGATGGCATCACCGACTAAATGGACGTGAGTCTGAGCA